GCTGGGCCCATGCACACAGGTGTGGGGTCCCTGCCACTCCGGGATGGCTCACCTGTGGAGAGTCCCAGAGGTGGCTGACTAAGACCTAACGGAAACTCAGTGCCTCAAAGGTGATTGCTTAGTGTCTACTGCATACTTAATAATCCTGAATATTTAGCTCCTCCTGTATACTTAACACTCATGAATACTTAGTGCCCAGAAGCCTCACATTTAACTACCCTGTGTCTTGGTTCTCTTGTATCTTTAAGCCCCACTCTCTCGCCTCACTTTTATCTATGCTCCCATCTTAGGACATTCATCCATTCTCCTACCCCCCCCCCACCTGCCCCCCCCCTTTTTTCTTGTCTTCTCCAGCAGAATGGAATATTCTAAGGCAATAGAACAAGTGCTCCCTCCAGGAGGCTGCAGCCAGGCGGAGGGAATGAGGGTGCACTGAGTGGATGAAAGGCAAAAGGCAGGCCTGGCCTGCCAAAAGCCAAGAGTGCTTCTTCATCGTGGAGTGTTGTGAGTTCTTGGCATGTTCGAGTCTCCTGTCTGATCCAGGATGACCTTCTCATCTCAAGATCTTTAAATTACACCTAGAAAGACCCTGTCCCCAAATACGATCACAGTCACAAGTTCTGGCTGTTAGAATGGGGTCCTATTTTTGGGGGGAGAGCGCTACAGGTGGGTTCCAGGACTAGGGTGTCTCCACGGAGAGCATCTGCCTCCCGACTTTCCACATGTGCTGACAGTCTCCAGGTGGGCATACCTGGCTGGGGGGACACTGAGGAGGGGCGGCCATGGGGGTGTGCCTTCGACGCAGGGTGCAGGCGGGGCCTCAGGGGTCCTGGGGACTCGTCCTCGGGGGACAGTGTCAGGAAGCTGAACTATCCTTGGAGCGAGACTATATATAAGAAGACACCAGGCACCCAGCCATGTGAAGGAGGCGCGTTGCCCCTCCAGCAGCTGGGACATTTTGGGCCGCTCCATCATCCCGCTGGAGAACACTAGCAAGATGGCACCCAAGTAGGGCCGCCCCAGGGCTGGGGCAAGCCATGGACGGGCAGTGGGTAAGGAAGGGTGTCCTGGAGGCCCGAGGGCAGGGTTGGCAGGAGGGGTGGTCACAGGCTCCACGGTCTCTGGGGAGGACGGAAGCGCCAGGACATGGTCTCCCCAGAGAGATGTCTGGGACCCAGCCACCCACGTGGAGGGGCGTGGGCAGAGGGGACGATGCAATTTTAAAACTTTTGCTGGGTGGGTGCGGGAGAAAAGCAAAGCTTCGGTGAGGCTTGGTGAGCAGTGCGTAGAAACAGACCCCCCCCCCCGGGAGTGTGAGGTCGATTCTGAGGACCAGGTCTGGGACCTCCATGCGAGAGAGCAGCGTGCAGGCCAAACAGCTCCGCTCAGCCCAGACCTCACAGCTCTCAGGCTGGGTGACCGAGTCCTCCTCAAGGCGTGTCCCCTAACACTCTAATTCAGGGTCTAAGCAAACACAGAAAATGAGGGGGTCCTTTTATGCTTTTTCACTTGAAAGATTCTTTTTAAAAATTTTTTTTTACTTTTATTTTTTCATTTTTTAAAGCTTTTATTTATCCATTTGAGAGAGAGCGAGATCACGAGCAGGGGGGAGGGGCAGAATTGGGGAGAGGGAGAAGCAGACTCCCTGCTGAGCAGGAAGCCCCGCCATGTGGGGCTCAATCCCAGGACCCTGAGGTCATGATCTGAGCCGAAAGCAGACCCTTAACCGACTGAGCCACCCAGCGTCCCAGGCGCCCCCCTTGGGAGATTCTTGAACATGTTGGAAATGAACAAAGCAAGGAGAGACCAGATGTGGGGTGGGGGCTGGAGACAGACCCATGCCCAGGAGAAGGGCAGGGTGAGTTACGGGACCTGGCCAAAGTGAGCGGAGAATTCTGGAAGCTGGGAGCACCTTCCTGGCAGTGGGTGTGGATGTTTCTGCATTCTTCCTGCGAGACTTTGTACCTCCTTGCTCACCTTTCTCAATAAACTACTCACCCCACAGGGACGTGGGGAGCACGACAGAGATAATCCCATGGCTCTTGCCGCAGGGAGCCGGGAACTGGCCTCAAAGCTCCGGGCTCTGCAGAGGCTGGTGGTCTGTTCCGCCATCAGCCCTCCTTCCCCAGCCCCTGGCAAGCACTGATCTGCTTCCCGCCTCTACGGATCTCTCTCTTCTGGCCATTTCTTATAAATGGGATCCTACCCTGCGTGGCCTTGTTGTCTGGCTTCCCGGACATGTTTTCGAGGTTCCGCCACGTGGTAGCACTCGCCGGTGCGGCCGTCTGCATTCCACCATGCGCACAGAGCGCAGTTTGCGCGTGCATCTGCAGGGACCTTTGGGCTGTTTCCAGCTTTGGGATGTGCTGCTGGGAATGTGCGAGTCACCGAGTCATTGGGAGTGGGCCTGCTGGGCCACGTGGGGCTTTCTTCCTGGAGCGAGGGTCTGATGGGCTTTCTCTTGCAGAGGTGGGCAGCTCTGAAGATTTTCAGATTCCTGAACCAGGAAACCCTGACAGACGACCAGACGTTAGACCAGAGCCGTGCAATGGAACTTGAGGCTGGTCTGTTCCCCCGCTGTCTGATGTGTGGCCGGGGCGGCTAAGAAACTGCGTCCGTGTGTTTCGTTTTGTATCACTGAAAACCGAACAGCCCTTGTTGCTTCTTGCTCTCTACAGGGGACAGCTCAGCCACCTTAGGGCTGCCTCCCTCTTAGCGTCCCATTTCAGGAATGAAAAGTCGGGAGCTCCACGGAGAGACTCGGCATACCCAAGCCCCCCTGCCCCTGAAAAACATTTCTTAAATGCCACTGAGGGGTTTGACAACATACAATGATCTACACCACATCAATGCATAAACACAAATTTCAGCTGGAACTGGAGACCGTCACTGGAAACAGAAGGGCCAGCTCCATTTCCAGAAGGCTCTATTGTCTCTTGGACAGTCCATGCAGCCTGCATCACAGAAATGGGGCCCACTCGGCCACCTGCTCTGCTGCGTCCCTCCACTGCAGCGGGTCCTGTGCTCAGATGCACGTGGACAGAGCAGGCTCGTACATCCCTGGTGTGAATCCCTTTCACAGCACTAGGATATTTTCCTAAGACCAGCAGATGTGTGGTTAACTCCAGATGGTGTCTAGGCAGCCCTGGTTTGAGTAGACCTAACTTTAGTAAATACAAATTATATAATAATCCTGAATTGTCTTACCCGCCTGTCTTTATTGCTGTAAAAAAGTAATGAAAACAATAAAGATATTGACAATAGGAACAACAACAGTTATCAGGCTTTCTCTGTGCCAGACATTGTTTTAAAGGATTATGAATCAACCACTTAATCCCTCCTCCCCCATGAGGTGGGTGCTAGGTACGTTCTCACCACCTTGCCAGGACCCCTGGGATTATCCAACTCCCGTTTATTACACAATGTGCAGCTCACGACCAGTCCTCTTCTGAAATAGCCACACATATATTACATAATCTGATCCTAACAATGCTCGCTGTACCCCTACTAAATTCACAAACCTAGTTTTCCTGACTGAACCCAATGGGCAAATTATTCTAGTCTCTAATTTTAGCTATCAGGTTAAGGGACTCGGATTCATGTTTGGCCAACCCAGATTGAGTAATTTAAATTCTCTTAAATAGTCATTCTATTTACAGTAAGGTTTTCTTTAAAAGTTTACCCTCCCCTTAAAAACGACTTTCTTTTAAATGTTGCAAACGCCTCTAGAGCAGAAACCCTTTCCAAGACCTTAATCTCCAGATTAGCTCATAACTCCGATGGACCTGTTTCCAGAACTTTGCAACGTCCGCTCAGTCAAGCACCCTTCCATTTTTAAATGGAAATCGTAAGGTTTACGTAGGAGAACCTCAAGAATCAGATTCTCTCTACACAGTACATATTTTCAAAACCAGGTGAATCCGCCCGGTTATCCCGGCCCGGGAAAAGGAACGGCCTGTCCTTGGCATCTAAACGTGACCGCAGGACACTTGGCGCAGCGGTCAGCCCCCGGAACAGATACCCTCACGATGAGCCGGACCGAGCCCGAGGCTTGGGAGTGAGACTCAAAGGCAGACGGCGGACACGTGTCCGCTGGCATTCCCTGCGGCAAACGGACGCGGGAGCCCACCGTGCGCGTAGGCGCGCCCGGATCGTGCCTCGGGCCCCCTCGGGCCCGGCTCCCCGTGCGCCCACGAAGACGCAGCCCTAGAACAAGGCCAGGTTGCGTGCTCAGTGCGGCTCTTTTCTCGAGACCGTGGGTGGCTCTGAAAAGAGCCTTTGGTGCCACGGGGCCCCCGGGGCGCACGGCCGCTGCCGGCCCGCCTCCGCAGCCTCACTTGCCCTTGGCCTTGTGGTGGCTCTCGGTCTTCTTGGGCAGCAGCACGGCCTGGATGTTGGGCAGGACGCCGCCCTGCGCGATGGTGACGCGGCCCAGCAGCTTGTTGAGCTCCTCGTCGTTGCGGATGGCCAGCTGCAGGTGGCGCGGGATGATGCGCGTCTTCTTGTTGTCGCGCGCCGCGTTGCCCGCCAGCTCCAGGATCTCGGCCGTCAGGTACTCCAGCACGGCCGCCAGGTACACGGGCGCGCCGGCGCCCACCCGCTCCGAGTAGTTGCCCTTGCGGAGCAGGCGGTGCACGCGGCCCACGGGGAACTGGAGGCCGGCCCGCGACGAGCGCGACTTGGCCTTGGCGCGCGCCTTGCCACCCTGCTTGCCTCGGCCTGACATTTCCAAGTTGGGCGCCAGGAGAACAGAAAGCCGAGAGCGAACGGGCGAAATAGCGACTCCGCCGGCCTCAGTGAGCCCTTATATATGGTCCGGAGGTAGTCAAGCCGGCCTCGTCCGATTGGGTAGCGATGGCGACCAATCAGAGAAGGAGGCCGCCATCCCCTAATTTGCATGCGCCTTTTCAAGTAGTGACGTTACGCGGCATTTGAGCCTATCAGAAACGAAGGCGTCTGGATCCTTCATTTGCATACGGGACGTATAAATACAGTTCCTCAGGACGTCTGCTCCTTTTGTTCGGGGAGATCTGCCATCATGCCTGATCCGTCCAAGTCGGCTCCGGCCCCGAAGAAGGGCTCGAAGAAGGCGGTGACCAAGGCGCAGAAGAAGGACGGCAAGAAGCGCAAGCGCAGCCGCAAGGAGAGCTACTCCATCTACGTGTACAAGGTGCTGAAGCAGGTGCACCCCGACACGGGCATCTCGTCCAAGGCCATGGGCATCATGAACTCGTTCGTCAACGACATCTTCGAGCGCATCGCCAGCGAGGCGTCGCGCCTGGCGCATTACAACAAGCGCTCGACCATCACGTCCCGCGAGGTGCAGACGGCCGTGCGCCTGCTGCTGCCCGGGGAGCTGGCCAAGCACGCCGTGTCCGAGGGCACCAAGGCCGTCACCAAGTACACCAGCTCCAAGTGAGGCGCGCCGGGCGCCCCGGAACCCAAAGGCTCTTTTCAGAGCCACCCACACAATCGAAAAAGGGTTTCGAACACGGTGAAGGGTTGTCATGTGAACCAATTCCGTTCTGTGCGTCCCAGCGGTTTCCTGGCTATCGGGTCTGTGTGTGCGCGCGCCTGTGCGTATGTGAGCGGAAGGCAAGAATGTGTAGCTGTTCTTTACGGCGGTCTGGGATGGTGGCCGTCGCGGGTGCGGCCAAGGACCCCGTGTCCACCCTCCCCTTTGGGGCTATTAATGCATTGCTAGTCGAAGTAGGATCCTCGAGCTTTGCGTCCTCTGGTGGCTGCAGAGCGTATCCCCGGCGTTTGCGCGCGTGGACTCCCAGGGCCCGCACTGTCCGCGCGTGGCGTGCGCCTGTGGGTGAGGGGCGCGGGTCACCTCTTCCAGAAGGACCTCATGCCAGCCTTCCTTCCCCGGTGTCCCTGACGAATGGACCCCGGAGGTGAGGACTTGGTTGTTGCGCAGCCCGGGCGGTGGCGCCTGGAGCTGCATCCCTGCCTGGACCGGACATCTTTATTCTCAAGCAGGGGACATTTCCGGGAGGATGTTTGCGTGGCTGGATCTTGCAGCGGCATTGAAACCGAGAGGGAGACGGCAGCGTCCTGTGCGCGGGAGCCAGATGTAATAAGCCGCTTCCTGCTGCGGGTAGCTTTAACTTACGTGGGAATGGGGGAGATCAGCTCAAGACAGTAATTCCCTTTCTCTGTAATTCCCCCTTTTCTGAGCAAATTAGCTCCCTCCCTTTTCAGCCACATTGTTGTTATTTTCTGTGAAGCGTCAGTGACGCAGAATTCCCCCTCTCTTTGGATTTATGACATTTAATTTGGAAAGTGTCCTTTTGGTCAGAGAAAGCGCTTTGGCACGAAAAGTCTTCACTTGGGAAAAGACATCGCTTTGCCTTTCCCTTCGCTTGGCTCTTCTTATTTGTAAATAAGGGATTCTTAACAATCGCTTCCTTGAGCCTGTTTGAGTCTTAGATGTATTGGAAGGTCGTGGCATCCTGTCTGGCAGGGAACAGACAGACACACAATGAAAGAGAACAGTCGTGTTTTTGCAAATCGTCTCTCGAAAGGAGGCCGGTCGGGTATCGGGCTGGGCGGGAGGGTCTGGAGGGAATGTCGCCAACCGCGCGTCCCCCGCCCCAGCGGCTGGAAGCCCACCCACCCGTTACTTCTGCGTGGGTCCAATCTAAAGGGATTTAAAACCTCACACGTTTTTCGGTTGACATCTAAAATATTTCTATCCTTAGTTCTAATAGTTACAAGGACGCAAATCCCAACCCAGGACGTTTTAAAAAGCAAAATGGTCACAACAAAAAATTTTAAAGAAACGTTGGAATATTTGTAAAGTTCTTGACCTGTTACACATTTTCCAAAACATTTTTTATTGAGATACAGTTGACACGATCACATCAATCTTTTCAAGGTATCTATTGAAATAGCAATTCAGTACCATAATCAATTCATAAAACACATGATCAAATTCTTCGTTAACACTGAGATGGTCTAGATGATCCTTTTTTTCTCCCTGAACTCATTCCCATTGCACCTCGCAGATTTCCATCCAAATGTAAGATATGTTTTTAATTGTTTTACCTACTACGTTTCCTTATCCAAATAAATAAATAAATAAAAGGTATGTAAATTGAAACTTAAAAATACTTAAAAAATCACCTGGGCAGTACGCAATGGATGAAAACAAATTTTGGTACATAGTTATCAAAGATAGATAATTGTAAGTAATTCTCAAACAATCAGAATTTAATTTGGGTGAAACCTACGTCATTGAGTGAGATTGGTGGTGACGCTCCCTGCATTATTGGTTCAGTTTATGCCTCGATGGGCACATAGAATATTGTTATGGTTAAAGTGATATCGGTGTGCATCCTTGCTTTCCCTTTACTATGCTCTGAACCAATATTTACAGACAAAACAAAACAAAAACACCCCCCAAAAAAACCCATAGTGACAGAAATTTTGTCATGGCTATTTTACTCCATTCTTTCACTCCTAGTTATCATCCCGAAATTTGAAAACGGGTGAGGTATCATCAAAATCAACACCTTTAATCTTAAGAGATGTCTGATTCATATTGAACACTACAGGATCCGGCCCTCCACTATGAAGCAGGGGCCTCCTGATTGGGTCTGAGCCCTCAGCCCACTACCCAGGTAGATTAGGAGTCAGTATGTTCATGAGCACCTCTGGCAACAGGAAACTAGTCTCCCAGACCCACGTGATTGTCTGCCTGAATAATGAGCTTACGACAGGTTTAATGAAATGAAACTCGTCTCCACCAGTGTGTGAAGTTGCTAGCAGTAGGCAACAAAAATAAAATCAAGAAGCAAAATAAACAGAAATCCCAAATACAACAGTATGAGAATGTTTTGTTGTGGATAATGCAAAATGCAGATTAATTTCTCAGTCTTTTCAGGGCCCTGGCACACACACTTCATTAGCATGAATAAAACAAAAAGAAGACTGCCTCTGTTTGCTCAACAGTGTGGTGGAGGCTGCAGAGACAGCCAGCAACAGCCCTGGATGGAGCACAGGCCCGCTTGGGCCCTGTCCTCCCAGGAAACCTATTAGGGAAGATGCAGGGTGACAGAGTCCTGCTCCTGAGAATTTATAATCAAGAAAATGGAGGGAGGGGCGCCTGGGTGGCTCAGTTGGTTAAGCGACTGCCTTCTGCTCAGGTCATGATCCTGGAGTCCCGGAATCGAGTCCCGCATTGGGCTCCCTGCTCGGCAGGGAGTCTGCTTCTCCCTCTGACCCTCCCCCCTCTCATGTGCTCTCTCTCATTCTCTCTCTCTCAAGTAAATAAAATCATGGGGCGCCTGGGTGGCTCAGTTGGTTAAGCGACTGCCTTCTGCTCGGGTCATGATCCTGGAATCCAGGGATCGAGTCCCGCATCGGGCTCCCTGCTCGGCGGGGAGTCTGCTTCTCCCTCTGACCCTCCTGCTCTCATGCTCTCTGTCTCTCATTCTCTCTCTCTCTCAAATAAATAAATAAAATCTTTAAAAAGGAAATGGAGGGAGATTGAATACAGAGCCCACGTTTGTAATACTGCTACAAAACACAGAAAGAGAAACGTTATTCATGTTAAGCTGGAGGCTGGAGGAAGAGGCTCGCTGGGTATTGACAGCACATAGGCTAGGAGAGGGAGGACCCAACACAGTGGAAGAATTCTCTGGGTTTGAGATAACCAAGTAAACGCTTAGATCCGGAAGGCACTGGAGGGATTTCGCAGGTTATCTTACCTGAGATGCATTTAAGAGACTCTCCCCACCCCCCATCTCAGCTAAAAATTTCAAGTCAAATTTGAGTGGGAGCGGCTATCCCTTTAATAAAAACTACAAAAGCAAATAAACAGCTTACTGTATAATAGGTTAAATGTTGACGGAAGCGTGGCAGTCACCGGAGATGATGTGAGTCCCCTAGGTGACAGGAATCAGGTCAAGGCCCACCTGAGGGAACCAAGGCGTCCATCCAGATCCTGGGAAGCCTGCTGGCTTTCGGAGACTAGGATGCTCTTGGAGGCGTGCTTTTTGTAGTTTGGGAATCACCAGTACTTGATGTTTTTAGGGCCAGGGAGCCGGGCCTGTCTGGCCTGGTGCTTCAGTTATGAAGCAGGCACATTTTACCCCCTTTGCGTATTGTTTACCTGTTTGTTTTGTTTTTGTTTTCCTTAAAAGCCCTCCATTCGTTTTGTTTAAAAGGCTCTTTCCACTGGGTGTTATACAGAAACTGATAAATTATTAAACATACCTGAAACTAATGAATACAATAAAAAGGATCTTTGGCCGCTTACTGGGCTTCCGTTAAAAGCATACACGTTTTTCAAAAAAAGAAATAGCAGTCTCCTAATAGGAAGGATTTTGGCGGAGTAGGAGTTCGGAGGCCACGATCTGTGCTCCCCCTCTTTTGATTTTTCCAACAGAAACGCAGGATACCCATAAAAAACTGCTTCAACTTAACACTGCTTGAGGGGATTGTGGCCAGAAGCTCCTGGTGCCCAGGGAGGCCAGGGAAGGACGCCACCACCAGGACCGCACAACACCCAGGGCCTCACTACCATCGCGCCCGGCGGATCCCGACCTCACCCATTAAGGGGCGGGGCGGGGGCGGTGCTGCTGGGGAGGGTGGCCTGAGGACTTCCTGGAGGTGACGCGCGCCCTCACGCCATCGGGCCCCCGCCTTTATAAAGCCAAGGCCGCGCTCCCTCGCCCGCTGCTGGCTCGGTGGAGACTGAGCCGAGAGGCCTTTGCGGGATACACGCCTTTAAAGGAACTCAGCTTCAGGCCAGGTCTTGCGCCCCGTCGCGCACTCCAGTGCCCCAGGACGCCCACGGAGCAGCACATCACAATCAGACCGGGTGGCACGCTCCTTTCTGAGCACAGAGGTGGCTCTGAAAAGAGCCTTTGGGTTCCGGGGCGCCCGGCGCGCCTCACTTGGAGCTGGTGTACTTGGTGACGGCCTTGGTGCCCTCGGACACGGCGTGCTTGGCCAGCTCCCCGGGCAGCAGCAGGCGCACGGCCGTCTGCACCTCGCGGGACGTGATGGTCGAGCGCTTGTTGTAATGCGCCAGGCGCGACGCCTCGCTGGCGATGCGCTCGAAGATGTCGTTGACGAACGAGTTCATGATGCCCATGGCCTTGGACGAGATGCCCGTGTCGGGGTGCACCTGCTTCAGCACCTTGTACACGTAGATGGAGTAGCTCTCCTTGCGGCTGCGCTTGCGCTTCTTGCCGTCCTTCTTCTGCGCCTTGGTCACCGCCTTCTTCGAGCCCTTCTTGGGCGCGGGCGCCGAGCGGGAGGGCTCCGGCATGGCCAGCGGGGCGGCGGCGGGGCGGCGCCCAGATGCGCGGGGGCCGCGCCGGCAGCGCTATTTATCGTCTCCATATTCAAATGAAGGCTCCAAATCGCTAGAATCCGATTGGACGGCCGGCTGCGCCGCCGGGACCGCTAGGAATTTATGTAAATAGCAGACGCCGGCTCTTCTTTCCTATTGGGCGGCAATCCGGCCAATCCGAAGACGCGTGTGCCGCGCGCGGGGAGTCAGGTTGAGCATCTTCGTTCCAGCCGGGAGAGGGCTCTTTGTCTAGTCGTAGGTTCTGGATGGGACAAAAGAGGAACAGGAATACGGACACTAAAATACGGAAATAAAAACCGGTTTAACCCCGCGTCTCCATCTTCTCCGGCCAAGGGCAAACACATTTCTGAGGCCAAAGGCTGGGGAGAAGCTGATACTTACTGAGCAGAGGGAATGGGGAATAACTTAACTATTTCCCATCAGGCCCCCCCCCCCCCCCCAAGAGGCCAGTTTAAGAGTTCATGAGCAAATGCAAAGGACTCTTTAGGAAACACCGAAAATACGTTAAGGTACTTATACTGGAAGTGTAGCTACAGGGCAGGCGTTCAATGGAGGGAGGAAATGAATCGGTTTCAAGGGAAACAGTCCTCCTTCCAATTGTTTATTTCAACGCTGACAACTCCCCTTTGAAGTGACAGGTACATGCTAAGTACTGCATACACAGGATCTCGTCTAGTCTGCTAAAACGTCCGACGGTTAGGGGCACCTGCCTGGCGCAGTGGGTTGCGCTGGACTCTTGGTTTAGGCTCAGGTGGGGATCTGAGGTCGTGATTTGGGTCGTGATCTCTGGGTGGTGGGATTGAGCCCTGCAACAGTCTCCGTGTCAGTGGGGAGTCTGCTTGAAAATTCTCTCCCTCTGCTCCCCCCAATGGTGGGCACAGGTGGGGGCCCGCTCTCGCTCTCAAATAAATAAAACTTAAAAAAAAAAATCCTGCAGGTAAGTGCTATTCTCTAACTAGGCATCAGAACACAGGCTTATAGACCTGTTAAATGATAAGCTGGGGCCTATTAAAAATGTTAAGAATTTATCTGAGCAAAAATTGATTAGAATCAGGCAGCACCCAATTTAACAGATAGAAAGGAGTTCCAAGGAGCTGTACAAAATGAAAACCGTGTATAGGCAGAACTGAATGTGAACAAGAAGTCACACAAAGCAAAGAAAGCAATATTGCGGGGCACCTGGGTGGCTCAGTCGTTAAGCGTCTGCCTTTGGCTCAGGTCATGATCCCAGGGTCCTGGGATTGAGCCCCACCTCGGGCTCCCTGCTCTGCGGGAAGCCTGCTTCTCCCTCTCCCATTCCCCTACATGTGTTCCCTCTCTCGCTGTGTCTCTCTCTCTGTCAAATAAATAAATAAAATCTTAAAAAAAAAAAAAAAGAAAAGAAAAAAGAAAGCAATATTGCAAGGTCCCTTTCCTTTTCCAGGATGGCAGGGGGCTATCAGACCAATTACCTCACTAGAGCTGATCAGGGAATTCCTGACTGACACCATTCTGGGAGAGCTAACACTTTCAATAAATTAAGTCTTGGTTAGCTGACCAGAAGCTTAGCATAAGGCACTCCGTTTTGGACCTTTTGTCCTGTTTTTATCAGAAGTTACCAGATTAATTCTTATAAACATGAGTTAAGTTTCCCTATATGTTAAATGCCAAGAGGGAAAGAAAAGGTGTTCAGAATTCACATTTCTCACTTACTTCAGCATCACCTGGGAAGCTCGTTAGAAATGCAGAATCTTGGGCTCCACCTCAAAGGTATTGACTCAGAATCTGTATTTCAAACAGCTCTATTCAGGGGGTCACTTTTCTGGCCACTTTTCTGGCCACCAGGGCATTCTCCAAGCAGGCCAGGAAACTTAACGGTGCCCCAAGACGAAATGGCTCACAGCTTCAGAGCAGTTAACAAGATACCCTTCAAGATACCAACACAAATGCCCTCCATATACAAATATGTACTCTGAGGTCCATGGGCCTCTTGACGTTTGGGTGCCCTGAGCTGCTTTGGACATACTCATCATTAAACCATTTTATCTGTTTACCTTAAAAATATGTAGTTGATTTAACAAACATTTCTATGGAGCTCATTAGGAGATAGGTAACCATTTATTAAATACCTAATTCAATGTGGTGCCCATAACAGCCTTTCCGGGAGTGCACTATTATCAACCCCGTCTTACAGATGGGTAGCAGCAGACCGGAGAAAATATGTCCCAAATTAAGCAGCCCGGGAGGCAGGAGCTGACTCTGGAAATCAGGTTGACTGGTGTCAGGCACCAAGCTAATGCAACCTAGAACTGGAAAATTTTTGGGTAGTGACCTTTATTTCATTTTGAAGAAGGAAGGAACACCACTTGTGATGTGGTGTGTAGAAGAAAAATATTAAAACACAGATGCATTGCTATGTATTTAAGTTTCTGGCAAAAAAAAAAGTCAGAAATTACATAATTTCTCCTGCCATAGAAAGATGATATTATCGATGAAATCGCACCGACTTCCACAATCGCGGATTCCATTAGGAAGATAAAGTCTTTGAATACAAAGCACTTAAGAAGATAGAAAAAGAGCTTGTTTCTGGATCATCTATCCAAACCACTTTTGCGGACATCGTTATTGTGTTCTCCGGGAGATGTAATGGGTAATGCATAGAGATGGTTCGTCTAGGCTCCCAGCACCACTGGAAGAGGTCTGAGGCTTGATCTCGCACAGGAGGTGAACTCCAAGCAAGAATGGCTGTCCTTTGGCCTGCAGATTTAGTTGGCTCAGATCTCTCCGACGTATTCTCGAAACTCACCATTCAGAGGCGGTCTTTCGGTCTCAGCTGGGGCTCATGGGAGGCAGACATTGGGGCTTTAACATGTTTGCGATGTCTGGGAGGAAAGAGTTTCTGCGACTGAGGAGCTGGAGGTTTGGGGGGGACATGCTTTGAGTATGTCACAGCGCTAGTGACAGGATTTCCAGGAACTGGTGCAAAATGAGAATCTTGGCATCTTGTCCAAAGACTACTGAGACTTGTAGGATGCCCACTGCAGAACATCGAAGCAATCTCGGGGCACTTCTCAGGGCAGCCGTGGTGTGGGCTCAGGTTGCTGGCCCATGAAGCCGGCCCTGGGTGCCCCTCAACCTGCAGGCCCCATGCGGGGGTGGGGGGTGGTCCTAGCCACTTGTCACCCCAGTCCCCTCCCCCACCCTGGTCCTGCCAGCCCTTGGAATGCTGGTCCTCCACCAGGTCCTGCTGGGGTTTCTTGGCTTCCTTGGGGTGTGGGATAGGAGGTGAGTATTTCTAGGAACGGCCTCGAGTAAGGGGCTGTGTTTCTGTGTAGGTGCTAAGTTTCAGAGTCCCTCTACCCCCACATAGTAGCTGGTTAGTGCCAGAAAATTAGGACCAGACTCTCCAGGGTTGGTACTACGGACTGAATGTGTGTGTCTTCCCCAAATGCATATGTTGAAACCCTAATCCCCAGTGGCTTGATGTCAGGAGCTGGGGCCTTTGGGAGGAGAGTAGGATTATAGGAGGTCATGGCGCTGGGGACCCTGTGGTGGGGTTAGTGTCCTTATAAGAAGAACTAGGACAGTACTTGCTTCTGTCTCTCTGTTCCATGTGAGGATGTGGTGAGAAGGGGGCCCTCTGCAAGCCTGGAAGAGAGACCCCATCGGGAACCCCCCTGGCTGGTACCTGATCTTGGACTTTCAGCCCCCAGAATCCTGAGGATGAATGCCTGTTGTTCAAGTGGCCTGGTCGGTGGTGTTTGTCACAGCACTTGGGGTCAAGAGAAACATGGTGTATTGACAGATGGAACAGTGTAGGGCAAGCTGAGATTTTCTAAGAAGGAATGGGGAAAGGAGGGAGTGAGGGGACGCAGAGTGGTGAAAGAAAAACTCTCTACAGTCTGGACATGTAAGTCCAGTTTAGATATCTTCTCTCTCTCTCTTTTTTTAAGATGTATTTATTTATTTGATAGAGGGAGAGACAGCAAGAGAGGGAACACAAGCAGGGGGAGTGGGAGAGGGAGAAGCAGGCTTCCCGCGGAGCAGGATGCGGGGCTCGATCCCAGGACCCTGGGACCATGATCTGAGCCGAAGGCAGATGCCCAACGACTGAGCCCCCCAGGCGCCCCCCAGTTTAGATTTCTTTGTAAGGCAGCCTGACTTTGTTCAAACCAAGCATGCATGGTGCACCTGCTCCGTGAATGAATAGCCTAAAGAGAACCTTTGTTTTGTCCTTAAGATAGAGAGACCCATGCCCCCACTACCAGCATTCACTCCCTGACGGTAACGCTTGCGATTGCTGTCTACATGTTACTTTAGAATCTTCGTGAGGCTTCACAAAGGTGCATTTCTGACCTCATGATTTCTGGGTCCTTGTGCAAAAGCCGATACTGTTCTGTGGATGCTGACCGTTCTCTGGAGCACCTCCGTCCCTGTGTGTGCCCAGCAGCGGTCTCGGCTGGGACGTGCATACAACTATTTCCTCGTAGAGAGTCTAAAGCATGTGTTCATTCTGCGCCGACAAGAGAAAGGCCGGAAAGAGCACAGAAGAAGGAAGAAAAGCCAGGTAGCCGTGGCCTGCAGCTTAGCCACTAGGGTCCGTGATGGCCCTACTAGAGTAATTGTAAAGGGGCTTAGGGGCGCCTGCGCGGCTCCGTCGGTTAGGCCTCCAACTCTTGGTTTCGGCTCCAGCCACCATCTCGGGGTCGTGGGATGGAGCCGCGCACTTGGGGTGCGTGTCCGGCTCCGTGCCCAGGGCAGAGTCTGCTTGTCCCTCTCCTCCCCCTTCTGTCCCTCTGCACACCTCTCAAATAAATAAATAAATAAAATCTTTTAAGTACAATAAAAAGGGGTATGGAGGATTAAAAAAAATCAAAACTTTTTTTCTTAGTTGTTCAAGCTCATAATGCCTGGTGCTGGCCACAAGTCCGTACACATGTTCGCCGAGTGACTGAATGAAATAAGCCCATTTTATCACTGTGTATTATTATTATTAATGCTATTATTATTATTATTTTGAGGAGGAGGAGAGAGAGACAGCGGGAGGCACAGAGGGAGAGGAAGAGAACGAACCTTAAGCAGGCTCCACGCTCAGCTCGGAGCCCGATGCGTGCGGGGCTTGATCTCACGACCCTGAGACCATGACCTGAGCCGAGATCCAGAGTGTGGCTCTTGCCGAGCCGACCGGGCCGCCCCGTGTTCCTGTGCAGCGCGC